TTCTGTCATGCATGATCAACATTTTCACTGGTGCATTATCATCTCACTTTGAGGTCAGAGAGAAATTGAAATTAATTATCTGATGAGTGTTATTGCTAAAGTAAAATGGGTAAAATAGTGAGATTCACTTTAGTGTTTTATTTTGGTAGATAAACCAATTCCCTGAACTTTCACAATCGTTTCTTCTCTGCCCATTTTTTTTTCTTACAAGGTTTTAAATTCCTCCAATACAGATATTATGAGGGTTTTAGGAAGTCAACTCTAATGACCTAGTGAGAAAGCTACTCTACTTGGTTGGACAATATGATGTTGATAGTAAAATTGTAAAAAATCTAAGCCTAACCTACTATCTCATCTGTAAAGACTTGTTTGGTGTACATTAATACCTTAGATTGTTTTGCAGCAGTTGTATATGTTAGCTATTGGCCAGTCTTGAAAGCCAGTACATATATGATAACTCCTGGATTTACTTTGGTACCTAACCAAGGAAGAAGAGCTGCTAGAGTTAAATTCTGTAAATCTTCTCTGTTCTCATATCTGGCCTCCCTGTGATCAGAAGAGCTGAATCACATTCAGAAAAGGGATGTGTGTACTTTATGTTCTTTGAAGGTGATGGAGACTTCATTACCAGAGTATTTTCTTTTCTTTCTTTCTTCTACGGTTTTTTTTTTTTTTGACAGTTTGTTGTAAGTTGCATGCACTCACTAGAGAAAGAGAACACTCCTGAGGGGGGATGGCCACTCCACAATCCATTCTCCTTTATTCTTCTCTTGGGATTTTGGGCACATATGCACATGCCTTGGTGTGAGTTTGAAGCCACTGGGTTCAGAACTCAAATTGTGGTTGGCCATGTAGGAGTCCAGCACTTCAACCACTATGCCACCTGCTGGCCCCCCTTTTTTCTTTTTATTCCCTTTGTAATTCCATATATTTACTTATTTTAATCAATTGTGTTACAAATGCTATTTTTTTTTTTTAAATTCTGAAGTTTAGATTTTTCATGTAGATTTAACTGAGGGAAAAATCATAAACCAAAAGATATGAACCTAATATCTTATTGTAAGAATTCTTGGTGAAGACGCATTCATTTTCATTCACTGTTCATTTTTAACAAGGTTGAGCAGTTATTCTGTGGAATAGAGACAGGCAGTCTGAATAACATTGCTGTTTCTTCTATCTTTTTTTTTGGATAGGTTTTTGCTATAGGGCACGTGCGCTCGCCAGAAAGACAGAGAGAGACAGAGAGACAGAAAGCGAGAAATCACCCCCCAGGGGGGATGGTCACGCCGTAATCCCTTCTCCTCCATTCTCCTCTCGGGATCTTGGGCATGCACACACATGTGACCGGTGTGAGTTTAAGCCACCGGGTCCCAGACTTGAACTGCTGTCAACTACATGGGAGTCCAGTGACATTGCCATTAAGCCAACTGCTGGTCCCTGTTTCTTCTATCTTAACTGCTATTTTTGCTGGCGTCACAACACTGGCACCATAATTACATCTGATAATGATGTGCAAAAATCCCGAATAGAGAAAGGACGAAAGATACTTCATTGGCATGTGCTTGCCAAAAAGAGACCTTATGTAGCCTGAAAAGAACCTAAAGACAATCTGGAATGATGAAATTTATGTACAGTAATGGAAAACAATGCTGTCTTTAAGGAACAGTGTCAAAAAATGACACCAGAGAGTAAATTGAATTTGATCTTATAGGGAGCATGGAAGAAACCCACACGAGTTGAGATTTGGAGTGAGAGAATCCAGTCGTTCCACCAGCCCCCACCACCCCTTGAGCTGGAGGTCTGAATGGTAGGCTACCTATATCCGAGTTTGAAGTGATCAAGAAAAAGGAGAAAACATCACAAGGTTGAACAGGCTTGTTTGCATGGTTACTGTCGAGATGACAGGCATTCCTCAGTAGGCTCAAATGAGGCAGGTGAGGACTAAAAGCCCATTGTAGAGAGCTGTGGGTCCAGTGACACACCAAGTGCCAAGTCCACTTCTCCTCTTTAAACCACAGTTCTCAGCACTGACTGTACATCAGAGTCTTGATGGGGGAGCTTTGAAAAATACCGATTTTAGGACTTGCACCCAGACCTACAGAATCAAGAATAGGGCCAGCATCTGTATATTTTGAAAGTTCCTCCAGTGATTCTTGTACATAGCCATGGCTACAAATTGTTTTTCCAAAGCTAAATGAAAATTATAACGGAAAATATGATACAAGCGGTGGTGATCCCAGGAACTAGGAAACCTTGATTCAATGGGCTTGTTATGCCACTATTTAAGTGGATGGTCTTATTTAAGTCACTGTCAAATGAGAAGATAAGAACACTTGGTCTCTAACATCTATCTCTGGCATTGTTACCTTGAGAGAGAGGAATATCAGCCTTATCGGTTGACTTTGAGAGTAAGCTCTCAAAGAGAGACCAAGGTAAGTAGTAATATTATTCTATTGTGTTATAGTTATTTTCAAAACTGTACTTGTGGTTCAAATTTTGCCATGTTAGTTCCCCCACAGAAAAGAAAGTTGGGCATAGATGTGATAGAGAAAAGGAAAACAGCTTCAACTTCCTGAGAAGAAAGATAGCACTTTCTGCAAGTTTCTTTTTCCATTAGAACTGCTATTTTTTTCCTGTGCATAATAGGGCTTGGGAAAAAATGCACAGATGTTGTGTATAAAGTGTCTAAGCATATTGTTGTCTATTGTTTCATAAACCCAAGTAGAGAACTCTGTATGGTTAATGTTTTACAATCCCATGGGTAATTTGCTTATTCTTAATCATGTCTAGAGGTAAATATTTTTAAGACAATCTTTTTCCCAGTATAATCAGTGGTTATATATGTCTTTAAAGAATGAACTTTCCAGATAATTATACTATTCATTGAGATTACTGCCATGGCATTTTTTTTCTCTTAATTTGACCAGAATTAGAGAAATCAAGTTTTAAATTGAATGACACCAACCAGAAGCTCTTTTTTTTTTTTTTTCAATTTGCTAGAGGTTACATGTGATTGCTGGAGAAACTCAGAGAGAAAGAGGGAGAACGGGAATGTAGCCTGTACAGGGGACAGTCACTCCACAATCCTTTCTTTCATTTCTCCTTTGAGGATTTTAGGCATGCGTGTGCACACACTCAAGGTGCTTTTAAAGCTGTTAGGTTCAGGACTTGAACTAGGCTGTTGGCCATGTGGGATCAACTGCCCCAACCGTGATGCCACTGGCTGACTCAGGAATTCTTTTTTTTTTTTAAAAATAATTATTTATTTGATTTTACTTATTTATTATTATTTTTAAATTTGACTAGAGAGAGACAGAGAGAGAGAGTGAAAATGAGAAAGCAAGCAGCCAGGTCTGGGACTTGGACCGCTGTCAGCCAGGTGGAAGTCCAACCTCCTAATCTCCATGACAACTGTTGTTTCTAGGACATATTAATATAAAATAATAAAATGAGAAATTGACTATTAGAAGATTTTAGTTGTAGTAGGAATGGCTAAACTTTTCCTTGATAGATGAAAACATTTGTGTAGGGCCCAGGTGATTTAAAATAAAGTGTGGGGATAAACTTAATTCTTGTTTAAGGCATTATCTAATTAAAATAATCTAAATATTATTACTTATGAACTTAAAAGATATAACATTTTAATATGTTGAGTTCAACGAGTATGCAGAATTTATAGAAAGATGTGAAAGTTTGGTAGCTAAATGATAGAAATAAAAGTTAAAGACAACACTGCCAGGTGAACAGGTAGATTTTTTTCTCTTCTTTAAGATAAGGATAGTTTGCAAAATTGAAAAGCTGCAATTTCCCTTAACATATATGTCACCCACAGTTTGAATTGAGAGACTCTTCCTGTTGTCAAATAGTTTGGGTAAATTCTTGAGCTTGATATTATGAAGAACATGGAAATTTCCTTCTTTGCAGACATGTTTAACCACTATGGCTAAAAGAAGAAAAAAAAGAAAAGAAAGGAAAAGAAAAGAGAAAAGAAAAAGGTGGATGGGGAGAAAGGGCAGCCCAGGCTGCTGAAATGTGGAGAGTTTATTATAAAACTAATATTGTATTTAATAAAAACCTTTCATTTATAATCTTTTAAGTTCAAAATGCAGAGAAGACTCTTTCACCTACACATTTGGATTACATAGCTGCTGCCACCTGAATGCGAATAAAGGTTTCCACACTTGTGCGAATAATGTTTGTGATATGAAATACATAGATTATTGAATTATACATAGTATTATTACCTTTTAATAGCCTTTGATGCCAGTGTGTCATGGTTGTTTAAGAATTCAGAAGTAAATATGATATTCTGTGAACAAAGTGTATATATTTTTGGGAACCATAATATCAAATTGAAAATTGATGAAGGAATAAATAATACATTTCATTAGCATGAATGGCAAATATTGAGAAATTAAATATGAATCTAGTATATTTGAGACACTGCACTGCATCTTTCTCTCATTGCTACAAAGACACATTTAACCCATCACTGCAAACACCTAGGGTTGACTTTTGACTACTTAACAGTGGTATAATGTGTGTCATATTGAGAACACGAGACTTAAGAGTGAGGGCTTTGCCACTGACTTCCTGTCTGCTCTGGCCTGAGGATTCTCTCAATGAGCAGTGCTTAGCCCTGGAATTATAACCCTTGGATGACTGGGGT